GTTGATTACGTCTTAAGTGAACGTAAACAGCAGGGAGAATGTGTATCATAGCTGTGCATTCGGTTTTAAAGGGATAGCAGCCTAGTTTAGTTGCTATTGTCCGAGTCATTGATGTTAAACAAGCAACAACAGAAAGACAGAAAATCACGCACTGCTCTTGACTGAAAAACTTTAGTAGCCCTAAAGATTAATCTAAATGTATTTATAGAAATAAATATGTCTGCTTGAAAGAATGAAGAATATGGTAAACAGGTTGCTATAAAGAATGCATAATTAATCTATATAACCATTGGTATTTCATTATTTCAATGTTCTTTATGAGAAGTGGTTTTATCTCATTTTAACACAAAGGCATGTTGTGTGTCACCGCAGTTAAATCGGTGTATATCATGATAAAACCTTAATATCAAACCTATATAATGAGTTTGGAAATTTTAGAGAAATGCTTAATAAATGCACTGTAACTAAACCCATTAGATTTTAGCCAACTAAATTTACTGTAGATTTAGTCGGCTAAAATCTTATGATATTTAGTCGACTAAAACTAGACTAAAACTAAAAACAATTCAAATGACTAAAATATGACTAAAACTAAATGGCATTTTAGTCAAGACTATGACTAAAACTAAATCAAAATTTGCTGTCAAAATTAACACTGAAGGAAAATACACTTTATAATGGGCTATAGCCTCTCACGCAGCCCTAATAAATCTGGCCGACTCACCATGATTGGGGGAAAAGACATCGTCCGCTGCATTGAGGCACAACATTGGCACCTGCACAGACTTGATCTTGTGAATGGGGCTCGCGTCTCGATAGTAGTCGTCATTGGATGGATAACCGAACATGACTGATGTGAAACGTTCATCAAACTCTCGGATTGTTTTAGCCTGTGGAATGCAAGCAATAATACTATTACATTAACATGTGACAAATGTGACACAATATTGTGTAAGTCAGAATGAATAACTCACCTTCATCACATGGTCTATGTCATATTTTTTTTCAAGAATGGTTCTGTGACTGCAAAAAGAAAAGAGGAAAATGTCACAATGAGGATTGGGATAATCTTCATATAACAAGAACGTATTCATAACTGTATTCGTAATAATGATATAATTAAAGGAATAGTTCACCCAAAAATGAAAATTTGCTGACAATTTTCTTTCACTCAGACCATCCAAAATGTAGATGACTTAGTTTCTTCAAGGTACCAGATTTGGAGAAGTGTAGCATTACATCACTTGCTCGCCAATGGATCCTCTGCAGTGAATGGGTGCCATCAGAATCAGTCTGTGGATTACTTGTGATGTTTTTATCAGCTGTTTGGACTCTCATTCTGACGGCACCCATTCACTGCAGAGCATCCATTGCTGAGCAAGTGATGGAATTATGGATTTCTCCAAATCTGTTCCCATGAAGAAACTCATCTACATCTTTGATGGTCTGGGGAAGAGTACATTTTTAGCATATTTTCATTTTTGGGTGAACTATTTCTTTAAGCACATTATTCAAATACTAACATAGGACAGGCAGTTTGGAAAATGGATGGATGGATATAAATAAGGCATAAAAAAAACAAGGTCATTTAGATTTGGAAACTTTTTTACCATGTGGTAAATATGGTTCTTAAATTTTATTCTGTGCAGCATACACTGTACTGCATATTAATTCTTAAAAATAGTATGTGAAACAGTACAAATTATGCAGTGACAAATGTTACAAAAATCATATTGCAAATTAAATTCAGAGTTGTCAACCCTTACAAAAGTTATTTTGCATTTTGAATTGAATTTTGTGTAAAAATGTGTTTAGCTGCCCAATCAAATGAAAAATGAAAGAGATGTCAAATTTGTGGTTGACATTAATTCTGGTTGATCCATAACACTAGAAATGGCAGGTCAAGTTGAGTGCACGGCATTTGTGGGAGAGTGTACCCAACGTAATGTGCTCTCTTGCAAATGTAGAAGGTTATTTGGTTAATATATGCATACAGAAAATGTGCATACTGTGCACAGTATACTGCATACTACACATATAGTTAGAGTAGTATGCTAGTGTTCTATTTCAGACAGCCATTCAGTAGTATCATGGTTGTGACGAGAGGGGCGGGGCCGAGAGCCGTGGGAACTGAGCGAGGCCGGTGGAGTAAATGCTAATGCACGACACCTGCGCCACTCACCGGTCTCGAGTCCCACGGAGGAGCTCCGGAAGGATAAAAGGAGGAGTGACGACAGTGTTGGACGAGAGAGGTTTTTGTAAGTTTTTGATAATCTGATTAAGAGTTAATTAAAGTAGAATAAGCCCCTTATGTGCAAAGTGTTCAATTCATTTCAACAGCCTGTTCTGAAACTGAAGCAAAATACATAAATTCCATTTAATCTTATTTGGCACATTTGGTAACACTCAAAAAGAGATCAGACCCAAAAAGAGGGGCAGTCGAGGACAATGTCCTCTGCGACGTCACTACACACACACTAGACTACGGTGAATTAAGCCGGGTTTATCCCCCTCTGACTACCACTGACCGGTCCACGGATGCCTGCAGGCAGCTGGTGAGGTAGGAGTTGAAGAGGAAGCGGTCCAGGGGCTTTTCCAGTGAAGCCGTGCACTCAAACACATCCCAGCCTGCCGAGAAAACCACCACTCCCTTCAGACGCACCTCAGAGCCCTTCCGACCCAGATAGTTCGCCAGCATCATCCTGCAGGGTGTCAAGATATGAGATGTACTCATAAAGACGCTCAGGACAGTTGATGGACTGTGCAATCGGTCACTGTTGCGCGTCGTCACGAAAGCTTATCATTTGCATGTGTTTTTAAGCCTTGCCAGTTTAAACATTCAAGAGATTTTAAAGCATTCAAGTGCAAGAAGACATGAAAGAACTTAATTTAGTACTCGCATGCTGTGCGCAACTACAGAATCGAGAATTCTCTTTTGTGTCTTATTGCGCTTGAACGGACAAATACATTACAAAATTCTCAAAATACCCGTCTTGCTGAGTATCCTCGAAAACTGGTGGTTATGTCATAAGTGAAAATAAACAGTTGATAAAGATGCGTTTCATTATATTGGATCCATGCAAGTGACAGCGCCTAATTTACTAGCTGCTGTCTGTATCGTTAATGTTAATCCAAGAAAAAAGAGAGAAAATTACTCACTGCTCTTGAATAACTTGGATTTTGTAGCTTTAACAAGGATTAATCTATATATAATTTAAACAGTAAAGACAATGCAATGCTTTTACATTCGTTGATTACAATTCTGTACCTGAACACCGCTAAAAGTGAAAAAAAAAATTTAATTTGCATCTTTGTTCTATTTATTTATCTGTGCTAGCCTATTTACACAATTTCAAATAGGGCCCACAGGTACAACCTTCACCGGGGCCCCGCATACCTCAGCTACGGCCCTGCACACACACACACACATATATATACATAAGCCGTATGAAGCTGACCCTTTTCTTTCTGTAAGACGGAGCAGATTAGAGCACTGTGCTGCCAACTCAGCTTTTACTTAGAAAGAGGTATAAATTTAGGATGAAATGATGCTGTGAGGCTTTGGGAAATTTCATCTGCATCAAATGACAGGGAAATAAATGCATGAACAAAGCATGAACTGGGAACACTTTATAATACAAGTCAGGAATGAACATTATTATATAATGCTTTTTATGGAAACAGCAGTGTTTCAGTTGTGTATGGGTTTGTTTCCTTTTTGCACATTTGTAATAGATGAAGTATTAACGAAGTATAGTATGAGTAGTAGACGATACTGCAGCGCTCAGAGATACAAGCAGACTTCATATTTCAATAGTAGTTGCAGTTTAATAATCACAAACACTAATCACGATTTGATTATTTGTACAGCCCTTCTTTTGGTTTAAATCCGTGTTACACTATACATTTCATTTTTGTGACTGGATTCTATTGGCGCTTTTCCACTGCATGGTACGGCAAGGTACGGTTCACTTTTGGGGGGTTTTCCACTGGGTACAGTACCTGGTACCTGGTACTTTTTTTAGTACCACCTCGGTTGAGGTTCCAAGTGAACTGTACCGTTACCAAAACGTGACGTGTAAACTCTGCTGATCACGGATTGGCCGGAGAGAATCGTCACTACCTGCGTCACTGAACTTGCGACACAAACACAACAGAACCGCTAGATTTAAATCAGCACAGCCAGCGAAGGATCGAACACAACCGTTTTGAACGAGCGCACCTTTTTTTTTGTCCGTGTTTCTCACTTTGCAGGCCAAATTAAAGTTCAATCACGGTTTCCACAAAAATATTCAACTGTTTTCAACATTGATAATAAATGTGACCCTGGAGCACAAAAGCAGTCTTAAGTCGCTGGGGTATATTTGTAGCAATAGCCAAAAATACATTGTATGGGTCAAAATTACTGATTTTTCTTTCATGCCAAAAATCATTAGGATATTAAGTAAAGATCATGTTCCATGAAGATATTTTGTAAAT